CTTGTATAAAGAGTTAGAATGACTAGATAACATAAGATGATGAAGGACCGATATTTGAAGTTCCTCGCAATCACATAGCTTTGCTTCCTAAAACGTATTCTCACCAAAAAAGAACTGCAATTTCGACCTCGTCTGAAGTCGTTTTATCAACACTCTCAACGGAACTCGAACCTGGGTCATAGTAATGCAGTGTATAATTTTAGCCTATGCGAGTGGGTTTTTGGGATCACAAATAAATCAGATATACGGGATGCGGAGTTCATTAGAAACGTCATGTCTACTCATACGATTGTGGTAAAATTCAGCCATCACTCCCCTTAGCATTTTAAATGAAATAGGGCGAATACACCTAACTTACTTGTAGGCTGGAAAACCTATTAATAAAATGAAAATTTGCAATGTCATCTATTGCCATAAAAAAGCAAACTTTGCTTCATTAGCAGTTTCTCTGAAATTCACATCTGCCCAGTGACCAAAACACTCGTGGCATTGTGGCGTAGTGGTTAACGTGTCGAGATTAGACTCTGTATTGTCATGGTCCGAGTCGCGCTCGGGGTGCTGATGCAGTCAGCTTAGACGAGGTCGAAACCACAGTGCACAGTAGTCTGGATGAGAACACTGTTTGGGGAGCAAGTCTATGTGAAATTGGATGAAAGATCTACTCATATGATTGTGTGAAAATGCAACTGACAGTCTCTTAATTACCTCAAACAAGTTGGGATGAACACACGTCTGATAATGTTAGCATGTTGCCACCACACCAGCAGCCACTTGTAGGTGTGGCATCTAATCGTCTTTTCATTGACAGTTTGGAAGAAACGTCTCAAAGTACCCTCGACATTCAGAGCAAGCCTAGCACAAGTGTTGCCGTTTTTAACAAAAAAAGTAGATTTCGAGCCGATCAGCAAGTCTTGAATACGAGTTCCAGCCGCCAAAGGTCGCGTAGGGTCACGACCTATCAACCCTTACTCATCCTACGCGACCTGGCATGGCTGACACTCTTATTCTGGATTTGCCGATCGTCTCGGAGTTGACTTTCCACGGAAGGTGGGGTCATTTCGAGATAACTTCATCTCAACTGACAACGGGAAATATGCTGTCGCCGAGGAAACGGAAAGCGGATTCGACGACAGCATGTGAGTGCATAAGTCTCCAACCTACCGGCCGTCCGAAGTCATGCGAATCAGGCAGACTTCTGTGGGTGTGCCAGTGAAGGATCCGATCACACCGGCCGCCAGACCACAGGCGCCCTTCTGCAGAAAGGTCGGTGGGGCGCCACTCTGGGAGATGCGCTCAAACAGGCTCGTGTAGACGCCCAAGCGAATGGTCGTGTAGGTGGCCTGACGCATCAGACCGGCGGAAAGGCTGATGGAGCATGAAAAAAGACAAAGAACCAAATATGAATAAAAAGTGGATTTAAAAGAATTTCTTTCTGATTTATTACGAGATGACTTTCCATTTCGAAGGAAAAGTCGGTTGCAAGGATTTCGCAAATTGGACGCACCAGAAGCCGAAGTAAACTAGCCGCAGAGTGAACCGAGGATGCAACAGTCTTCACTCCGGTTGTTTGTCCCTAATTCCTTCCAACCAATTGAAAGTCATAGCACAAACAACCAATGTCAGAGAAGTGGACAGACAAACCAACCGCATCAGGGAATAGTGCCCTAAAGTGAGAGTCATGTGCTTGTCTCCGGGTTCGCACCACCCGGTCTCCTGCCATCCACGAGACGTACAGTCGAAACTGTTGCCAGATGGAAGTGGGAAGGCGGTTGTTTTTTATGGGATCTTTCATAGACACTTGTGCCCGAGGTGAGTGGGCTAATGGGAGAGATCCTGCAAATGCTGAAAGCCCACTCTGATCAGATTAGGGCAGCCCAACAGCAACTCAATCTGCAGCGATCACTGCTTTCCGGAACCTTCAGTGCTCCAGGAATACTGGCTTTTCCATGGAATTTCTAGCAAGTTTGGCCCTTTAACACATTCTGACATTTTGACATTGTGAATGAATTGTTGGGCTTACTTCCATTTCTAGTAGGAGTGTTTGGTGTAAAGATTCGCAGGTCGGTTCCACCAGAAGACGACGGCCATTCCTCTTGACCAGCTGTCGATTGGCTTTACTGGAAGATTCATGCTGACGCTGTTTCCGAGGCAATCTTTTTCGATTCCGGTGAACACGTGCTGAGCTTTCGTCCGTCATATGACGGACATCATCAGAGCGAGGTACCAT